GTTTTCTGAAAGCCTTAAATATCTCATCAAAATATAAAACTCCTTGGATTATTGACTCAGGTGCTTCCGATCACATGACGGATTCTTACTACCTATTTTCCTCATACTGACCTTGTGCCAGCAATATCAAAGTTAAGATTGTAGACCGATTCCTCTCATTCATCGCAGGAAAAGGGAATATTCGGATCTCTAAATTTATAACTCTTAAATCTGTTCTTCATGTCCCGAACTTGTCTTGCAATCTATTATTTGTCAGTCACTTAAACTAAAGAATCCAATTGCTCGACTAAATTTTCTCAATCTCACCGTCTATTTCAGGACCTATCATCGGGGAAGACGATTGGCAATGCTAAAGAATACAAGGGACTTTACTACTTTGACGAGGCCAACGTGAGTAGACAATGTCAAACTACAATTTTCAATTCTATGTCTGTCTTAAGGATAGCAATATTATATTGTGGCATTATAGAATGAGTCATCCCATCTTTCAATACTTAAGACATATGTTTCCTTCCATTTTTTCGAATAAAACATCTATTGATTTTCAATGTGAAATTTATGAACTTGCAAAATATCAACGCACTACTTTTCCAAAATCCATGTACAAACCATCGAAACCATTCAGTATGATTCACAATGATCTATGGGGCCTTTCACGAGTCCCTAACCGGACTCATACCAAATGGTTTGTCACGTTTATAGATGATCATACTCGAGTTTGTTGGATTTACCTACTAAAAGAAAAAATTGACATCCGTTCGATATTCATTAACTTTCATAAGATGATCCGAACACAAATTCAAAACTTACGAACGGATAATGGTACCGAACATTTCAATTCCACTCTACAAGACTATTTACAAATGCATGGGATAATCCATCAAAGCTCGTGTGCCAACACTCCACAACAAAATGAGATTGCCGAATGAAAAAACAGACACCTTCTTGATGTTGCCCGTACTTTAATGTTTACCACATATATGCCAAAAATATTCTGGGGAGATGCCATCTTAACGTCAATCTATCTTATCAATCGAACGCCTAGCCGTACTCTTTCCTTTGAATTACCTATTCAAAGACTTCATAATTTTTTCCCTAATTCTCGACTTAACTCGAACATACCTCTCAGAGAGTTCGGTTGTACAGCCTTTGTTCATATTCATTCTAATCATCGAAGCAAACTTGATCCTCGTGCAATCAAGTGCGTCCTCCTCAGATATGCACGCATTCAAAGGGGCTATAACCGTTATGATCTAGAAACCAAGAAAATATTTGTTAGTCTTAATGTTACATTCTTTAAGAAAACACCTTACTTAAAAAAAACTCCCTTCAGGGAAAGAATCTGAGTGAAGATCAATTTCTAGACTTTGATATCTCTGTTGAGCCCACCAAAATCACTGAATCTAGAATACCACAGTGTACACCCTATTCTATTATGCCATGTATAGAGGAAAATTTGAACTCAGGGGGAGATATAGATAAACAAAATAACAGGGAGACATTGGTTTACTCAAGGATGCCAAAATCAAAGGAGGATCCCACATTCGAAGCACTAAGAGAATTGGAACTGATAATAGCTCCAGATGTTCTTAAGTCTCATGAGTCCAAACCTCCAGACACAGAATTACCTGTTGCTCTTAGAAAACAACCACGGTCATGTACTCTCCACCCTATTTCAAAATTCATATTGTATAATACTCTATCTACAGGATTTCGTACTTTTACATCTAACCCTGATAGTACAGAAATTCCAAGAAGTATTCAGGAAACCCTAAAAGTTCCCAAATGGAAGGAAGCAGTAATGGAGGAAATGCGGGCCTTAGAAAAAAATGACACATGGGAGTTGATGGATCTACCGAGAGGAAAGAAACCCGTAGATTGCAAATGGGTCTTCAATGTGAAGTATAAATCTAATAGATCAATTGAACGATATAAAGCTCTTCTGGTTGTAAAAAGATATACCTAAACCTATGGTATTGACTACACAGAGACGTTTGCACCAGTGGCAAAGCTAAACACAATTCGGGTCTTTTTGTCTCTGGCTGCTAACTTGGAATGACCTCTTCAACAACTGGACATCAAAAATGCATTTCTCAATGGGGAACTTGAGAAAGAGGTTTTCATACCACCAGAATTTTGCAAAGGAAATGAGGAAAACAGACAGGGGCGGACCCACATGGGGTCATGTGGGGCCAAATGACCCCACAATTTTCTGGAATTTTTTTTTTGGTGTTGAAAACTGAATTTTCTACCCCAAAAGTTCAAATCCTAAATCTAAATCTATATCCATATCACATGGTCCATATCCATTATTTAGTCCATAAGTATATCATATAATCCACCGATTTCTTCCCGAAGTGCAAATATCGAACATGAACAGCAAACAACCGATTTTTCCTTTTTGTTCATGATACATTGTTCGAAATTTTTTTTTGACCCCACAGTTCGAACGATCTGGGTCTGCCCTTGAAAACAGAGTCTGTAAACTCAAGAAATCATTGTATGGCCTCAAACAATCACTGAGAGCATGGTTCGATAGATTTGCAAAGGTAATGAAATGCCAAGGTTATCGGTAAGGACAATCAGATCATACTATGTTCTTCAAACAATCAGAAAATGGGAAGAAGACAATTCTAATTGTGTACATGGATGATATTATCCTAACTGGAAACAACACGATTGAGATGGAAAGACTCAAGAAAAATCTTGCAACTGAATTCGAAGTGAAAGACTTAGAACAAATGAGATACTTCTTAGGAATGGAGGTAGCAAGATCAAAAAAGGGTATTAGCATAGCACAAAGAAAATATATCCATGACCTTCTCATTGAAACAGGCATGCTTGGTTGCAGGCCATGCGACGTGCCTATTGATACTGGGAGGAAAACAAATGAGGATGGAAATCAAGTTGAGAAAGATAGATACCAAAGACTAGTCAGAAATTGATACACCTATCTCATACTAGACCAGACATTGCTTTTGCAGTAAGCATGGTGAGTCAACATATGCACTCACCAAAGGAGACTCATATGGAAGTGGTATACAGAATTCTCAGGTATCTCAAAGGCTCACTTGGAAAAGGGTTATTCTTTAAGAAGAGTGAGAACAAGAAAGTAGAAATATTCACAGATGTGGATTGGGTAGGCTCCAGAGACGATAGGAGATCGACAACCAGTTACTACACATTTGTATGGGGAAACTTGGTAACTTGGAGAAGTAAAAAAGGAACGTAGTAGCAAGAAGTAGTGCAGAAGCTGAATTTAGAGCAGTTGCCCAAGAAATATGTAAAGGACTATGACTAAAGAAACTCTTGGAAGAACTACAAGTCACAATAAAACTTTCAATCAAGATCTACTATGATAACAAAGCAGCCATCAATTTCTCCCTTAATTCGGTTCAACATGATCAAACTAAATACATTAAAGTAGACAGACACTTTATCAAAGAAAAGGTTGAAGACGGGGTTATTTGCATGACATATGGTCCTACAAAAGAACAAATTGTAGACATGTTTACCAAAAGACTACCTCAGCAAAGTTTTGAAGATTTCATTTGCAAGTTGGATATGGTCAATATTTACCATCCAACTTGAGGGGGAGTGTAGAAATCCTACAGATAGACTTTAATTTATTCTTGTACCATAATTAGTTCTTTTCCATAAATCAGTAGATTGTAATTTAGGTAAATTCCATCTCTCCTTATTTAGGAGATTTCTTTCCTTTCTCCCTTACCCCATTTATACTATAAATTGAGAGGTTGTATACATTGAAAATCATACAAGAAATACAAACAATAATTCTTGTGTTCAGGATGGTTGCTAGCACACTAACTATTTCTCTTGTTTAGCCCAATTTTTAGTCAAACTAAGTGAAAGTTCCAGATGTTGAGAAATCGCGTGTCTTAAATACAACTATTGTATTTGTAATTTAAACTGAACAGATGGTTGACGCTTGGAGGATTTATAGCCATGGGATCCAGGGTTAGCTAGAATCAATACACATACTATTTACAATTCATTTGGACGATAGTTTTCAAAAGCCTAGCCTCTCTATATTCTCTATTTGTGCTTCGTGCTATTCTGAAAGGATTCATTATCTAGATGATATTCTTGTAAATTCTTGAATGGAATTTTTAGGCTGTTAATCAATAACAGTTACCCACATTTGTGAGTTGTTTTGATTCTTTGTGGAATAGTAGAGTTAGTTGATAGGAAGAACTATTTCGAATAGGTGTCCTCTGTAATCGATATTCTTGCCCCATGTTTTGGACTGTGCTAGTGGATTTGAGTAAAATCTTAACGGATGCTCAATAGGAGATTAAGCATTAGATAGCGGTCAAAAATTCTCATATGTTTCTTTGATTTATTGTTACTTTTATTACGTTTTTACTCTAAAATACTTGAGTCACAAATCTGGACCAACAAGTACCAATTTTTCAAGTGAAAAGGAGTGAAGATTCATATCTAAGAGACAAACATGCAAATTTGGAAGTGTTTATAGACAGTTTAAATAATAAATGGATATAAATGATTCATGGTTCATAGATAAGTGAATAGTAATTGTGGATTATTCGAATTGTGTGGATAAAAAGTATCTTAAGTGTTTATATATAGCTCATAAACATCAGCAAAAAATAGGCTCAAGTTAACTTGACATGATCTAGGTACTAAATAGGGTTTTATATTACTACGTTTAATTGTTGACACGCTAGATTGAAATACAATTCTTTTTCACAGTTATATTTTGTCAAAGAGTTAAGCCCTTTGAACGGGGCAGTTTGCCAGGGAGAATGCCAGGTGGCTTAACTGCGTTGAATGTTAGATATGAAACAGATTTAAACTGACCAATACAGTGCTGCCACCTTGCAAACCTCCGTGTACATTGAGCATAACTCTTTGTCGAATTCTTGTTATTCATTTGACGTCACTCACTGTTCAGTTTTCTAGATTGAGAAGAATGTTATAGTAAAGAAAATAATTATAGAAAAGAAAACAAACAATACCTGGAGAAGATGGTTCCACAATCACATTTATATTCCCTTGTTCCACAAGTCTTTTGGTGAGCCTTCCAATCAGACTGCACTGCATATTTCTTTGAGCATTTTTCACACTTCCATTTCTTCTCTCCGTGTTTCCGGCTATAATGCTTCTTGATTCCGGTGAGATCGCCTAATGCACGCGCCGGATTATGGTGCACGCAACTCGGCTCTGGACATATATAAACTCGCTTTCTTGATGACTCGACTGTTCTTTGCTTAAGCTTCCAGGGAAGATTATGTCCCCTTCTATGCAGTTGCAGATTTTGATCTCTTTGAAATCCCTTGCTGCATATTTCACACACGAATCTGTTTGTTGCCATTAGGGTTTTTGGTGACAAAGCAATAACATCTGCAGTTGGATCTTCATAATAAAAAAAATGAATAGAATTAAATCACAGCTTGATTATTAATCCCAGTGTGTTGTGTGTGACATATATGTTTCTAGAAAAAAAAGGCAAAAACAAATTCAATAGGACGTCCATGATCACACAGTTGGACACGGGGGAAGTTCAATCAATACGAATGTGGACCAATAATTATAGTAATCATGAATAAAATTATTGCCCCATTTTTAAATAATTATTAGTATTACCGTTTAGTGAAAGTTGACATCAAAAAATGTCGAAGGTCGATATGGTTGCAACTAGACAACCTCTGCATCACGTTAATAGTGTTTTTTTTCACGAGTCTCGAGAATATTGATATCAGATTTTTTACTTCGACATTAAGATTTTCTGGTGTCAACACTGGTAGATTCATGTAATCCATCTCAAATTTATTAGGAAATGAAATATTTAATCTGTTGTTGAGAAAAAAAACTAAATCTACCTAGATAGATATCTTTTAGTTGAAAAACTGAACTTTATACTCTTACAAAAGAACCTAAAAGGGTGAAGTCTTATTGTACAAATTGCCACACAGTAGTAGATATTATAATAAACAAGATTTTTACTCTTTTTTTTTTTTTTTTTTTTTTCCTTAATATTGTTTTGTACTACTCAACATTGTGGACCAAATATGCATGTTATATCAGCAAGAATATACAAGATGTAGATTCAGGTATTTTAATGCAACTTCTGAAAAACGCATTCATCTAAGCTATGACATAAGCTAGATAAATCAATTCATAAAATAAGTAAAAAATAAAAATACTTAGCCTGAACTCCAGTAGGTCAAGATTTTACCTGGAGTTCCTGGTAAGTTTCTTTTCTTCTTAGAAGGCGGTTGCCTAGAGCTCGAGCCATTAGCAGAGTCGGCACCTTGGGACTGGTTTTGCAGTTGCACTTGCTGGAACTCTCCAGATGAAAAACTCCCATCTTCTCCTGTAACATTTGACATCGTATATATAGAAAGACAATAATTATTTTTTGTGTCTTTTTTATGGTTCTCAAACTTGAAATTGTTTCTCTCTCTCTTTTTCTTGTTGCTGGTGCATTTAACATAAAATCAGGAATCTGGTTCAGGTGGAGAGGGACAAAATTCAGGTAATTCTGGGTTCTGGTCTTCTTTGGCCTATATGATAAATATATGTATATATAGAAGTGATAAAAGACAGTTGATAAAGACACGCCCCTAACTTTGTTAACATTAATTAATTTATCTACCCCCACTCCCCACATACAGGTCCTAAATATTGTAACTTCATTGGTGCACTTCAAAGATTTTAACTAGCGACGGACTCAAAACTGATGACATAAATTCAGTAAGTCAAAAGCTAACTAGAAGAAAGTTTGGATTCAAGACTCCATTGGATCTTCTCAGTAGCTTCATTAATAAATGGAAGGTACGAGTACATACGTTATTAGGGCTGTACTTGCAGATTGAATTGGATTGGACCAAGACGACTACTGTTAAGAGACCCCGCCACTCATTTGTGTAACGATCTTTAATGATAATTGAAAAAAATTGAAAGTTGGAATTATCGTTTCTTCTGATGGGACTCCATATTATTGTCATGTGACGATCTACTAGCAAGTTCAATCAGGCCCACACTCCATATAACTATCCTACATGATCGAGATGAGGTCATATATAAGGATAGCCAAAGTGAAGCATTAACAAGTGTTTCGAGTGAATTATAGAGTCAGGCTATTATATCTTTGACCCAACCTTATTTTCCTATACGTGCTATGAATTACTCAATGAGTATGTCAGATTAGTGAGATATTAGAATTTGTCTAAAATTTACTTTCCTAGCTAGTTTTGTGTTTCTCAGGTTCGAAACTAGTAATGAAAAAATTCATACCTTCCGATCAATTTCATGAAAAATGCGATTTTTATATCTTCTCTAGGACAAGCTTAATTTGAAAGGTATGTGACGAATGAACAAATTTGTAAAGGAGGAATCAATACATTTACACATCTTATAAATGTCGTCAGCAAAATAAATAATTTAATTATTTTGACCAATAAAAAAATATTCATTATTTTAAAATTCACTTATTTCCTAATAAGAATTTGTTTTAAAGTTCAGCCAAACATGTTCTAAGTCGTGAAGACTTTAAATGAACAATATTAATTACAAATGATGTTGGATTCTCTCTCTCTTCATATAATTATTAACAAACAAACAGTACAAAACAGTGAAGAAGTCCTGGAGTTTGAAAACCTATATTTACAGTCAAATTTGAATTCCGGCTTTCTAGAGAAAAGGTCAAAAAAGTGAATAAAACCATTTCAATTGTTTCATATGGTAAACAAACAAAACGAATTATATATGCCAAATTTTGACATTTTTCACAGGCAAGATATGTTTCTATTTACTAGCTATGTTTATTCCTATTCCAAATGCGGATTCATTTGAATAATGCTATTTACAGTTGCCATATGTGGCATATATGTAATAATTAGTAATTTGATATATGAAACATTAAAAAAACTATCATATTAAATTACAAATCGCCATATGAATGCCACGTAAAGCAACTATGAATAACATTATTCAAAAGAAAAATCCTGCAAATTATTGTCTTTCAACAAAAAAATGTGTATTACACCCTGAAAGTTAATTTCGGTTTGATTTTTGAGCATTAAACTAACAAAAAAATTCTTAAAATACATGAGCATTAATAAATTTTTAATTTGAATTTGTGACTGAAATAGGAATGTGTAAGAACATAAGAAGAGTGACTTTTGCTCATCTTTTAAACATGAGTAGATAATAAACTAATTTAAAATACTACACACACTCTCAACTAGAAAGTGCAACGTTTCAAGAAAAAATGTTTAAAAACAAGACATTGCAATAATTTTTTTTTTTAATTAAACCGCTATGAATGGTGTTAACCCCAAAAAGTGTTGTCAACAGATGCCGGTCCCACCCACGTACACGTGGACGAATGTCCAACACGCTAGGACACATGGACGGTCTAAAACGAGCTGTTCAAAGGGCATGGGAGTAGCCTAAGGACGGTGACGTTCGAAATTCGACGGGTTGTTCATGATCCGATTGTACAATAATTACCAACCGGTGTTCGTAAATATATATGTAAATGTGTACAAACTCGATTTGTGTATTGCAAGTAAATGAGAGAGAGTTGAGTAAAGTGTAGTTCTTTGTATTGATTCTTGCATTAGCCCTTTGATATTACACAAGGGAAGTATTTATAGTGATACATGTGAAATGGGAGCTCTTGGATGAGGTGGCACGTGGCCTTATCTCTTTGATTCAAACATCTTATCCTAGGCATGGGGCTTGAATTGCTAGCTTACTGTGCCTTTATTGCTTGTGCAGAGCCTCCATACTAGTGACAAGACTTGACATTTATGCTTATGGCAAACGTTCCATCAATCATTCGAATAAGATCTTTGTGCAGACAATCTCTTGGGAAAAGTGACCATGGAGGATGCTCCCTTGTGGTTCGGAGGCTCCTGCATCAGCTTCGGGGCTTCGGCCATTTCATACAATACTTCCACTTGAGGGCTTTACCTATCTTCAACCAGCTTCTGCATCATGGCTTCGGCTCATAGGCCTCAGCATGTGGACCTCGGTTACATTCACAGGCCTAGGTAAAAGGCGCCTCGGCTAGTGGACTTCGGCTTGAAGGGCTTCGGCCATAGCCCACTTCGGCAATATATGCCACCTCGACTGGAATGCCACGTGGTTCGGCCTGAGTGGGCCATTGGCCCAGGTAGGTTGGACAAGTATGACAATACGTAACAATAGTCCCCCAAGTCCAAGTATGGTCATTTATGTAATGCGTGGACTTTAATAAAGTAAAAATTGAAAGAATTTTTGAACCCCAAATAATAGTCCCCCAAGTCCAAGTATAGATATTTATATCATGGCTGGAGTTAGAGATGTGCTGCTCTACGCCAATGATGAAGAGACCGAGGCTGTTTTGAAGAGGAGGCCGAGGTGGTTGGGAAACCGAACCTGTGAGACTTGTTGGCTGAACCTTGAAGAGGAAGCCGAGGTGGTTGGGAAGCCGAACTTGCGAGGCTTGTTGGCTGAAAGTTGAAGAGGAAGCCAAGGTGGTTGGGAAACCGAACTTGCGAGGATTGTTGGCTGAAAGTTGAAGAGGAAGCCGAGGTGGTTGTGAAATTGGACCTGCGAGGTTTGTTGGCTGAACATTGAAGAGGAAGCCAAGGTGGTTGGAAAACTGAACCTGCGCGGCTTGTTAGTTGAATGTTAAAAAGGAAGCCGAGGTGATTGGGAAACCGAATCTGCGAGGCTTGTTGGCTGAAAGTTGAAGAGGAAGCCGAGGTGATTGGGAAATCGAATCTGCGAGGCTTGTTGGCTGAAAGTTGAAGAGGAAGCCGAGGTGGTTGGGAAACCAAACCTGCGAGGATTGTTGGCTGAAAGTTGAAGAGGAAGCCGAGGCTCTATGGGAATGATTGTGCGTCAATAGCTGTGCCAATGATTTGATGTTTTGTGCTTGTTTTCGAGGAAAAGTGGCTGACCCGTTACGACTTCCAAGGCGCCTGCTGTCGTCGAATTAAAAACACAATTATGAGGACAGCTGGAGGTTCTAGAAGTAGACGCGTTGGATGGGGTGCGTGGGAGGCACGCTTGAATCTGAGGCGTAGGTTTGAAAAATCGTTTGAATTCAACGCCTCGAATTTGATCTACAATGGAGGGTTCAGATTGACTGAACTTCGATCTGACGGTTGGGGTTCGTCCTGGACCTCTATAAAAGGTGAGCAAATCCCATTTTTCAGAACTTTTGAACATTTGCAATCTGATTCTCTCTGAAATCTTGAACTTTTCGGCGTCGAGACTGTTTGTTCTTTCATTCTCCGGCCTATCTCCGTTCGCGTAGTTCCTTCCTTAGGTATTATTCTTAGAAGAGCCCTTTTATTTCTGTGTTAATACTGTGAAATGGAGTCCACCTCGGGTAAGGAGCTGGTGACAGTAGCTTGGTTAGATTATGGGGTCAGTCACAGGGGGGATTCCGAGGTTGATAGGTACGCCATGACCGAGGATCCAGTAGATTATACCGAAGAGTAGGAGGCGTCTAGGGTGCCTTCAAGTATGACGTGGAAGAGGTTGGGGGAGATTAGGGAGAGATATAGTGTCTCCCACACCATAGAAATGTCAGTTCCCTAGCCGAACGAGTGGGCCTGCTACCCGAGACCAAGTTGTGTGGCAGTCAGTGAATACCTGTTTAAGGCAGGTATGCATCTTCCTCTGCATCCCTTCTTTAGGACGGTGCTGAGGAATTTCATGTTGTCGCCGACTCAGATTCTGCCAAATGGGTAGAGCCAGCTAGTCTGCTCGTACTTCCTGTGGAAGGAGGTGTCACTTTGGGAGGACATGCCTCTCCATGTATTTATGACCCTTTTCCAGCCCCGGGTCATAGGGAAGGAGTCTAGAGGGTGGTATTACCTTACACCTTGGGGGGGTTCACGCACCCTTTGTGGTGGGACTGCCTTCCTCCATCAAGGGGTGGAAGGAGTCCTGGTTCTGGGTGTGAGGAAAATGGCAGGCAGTGGAGGGGGACAAGACCCTTTCTTGCACAGTGCCGACCCAGTACTACGAAACTCGTAAGTCTCCCAACCCCTGTTTGTACTTTTGAATTGAACACTTGAACTTTTCTAACTGTTGGGGCTACCATTACAGATAGTAGTACGAGGTTCGAGCTCAGCAGGGAAGAGTTGGAGGTGATAGAGGATATCTACAAGAGGCCTCTGAAGCTCTGCCACTTGAACCACCTGATCGACAGGAGTCGCTACTTCCTGGATTTTGGATTGATGGCTTCCAGAGGTACGAAGCTCTCACAGTTGTAAATTTTCTTGTTCTTTTGTTTTGATACTAATCTGCTGACCTGACGTGCTATGCAGATAAATTCAAGAGGAGGGAGTACCTAGCTCCGGACATGGCTATTATTCTGAAGGCCACAACCACTGTTAAGGCGAGGCCCCTGAAATCGGGGTCCAGTGGGGCCAAGGAGGTTCGAGGCAGGGTAGAACGCCTTTCCAAGGATAGTACTCCAAAGGCTTTCGAAGAGGGGGCTCCTCAGAGGCAAGAGAAGCCAAAAGAGCCTCGGGGGAAAGAAAAAGTCCCTGAGGAGGCGAAGAGGAAGAAGTTGGTGCACGGCACCAGCTCGTCAGGGAAATTTGGGACATTAGTGTCCCATGAGGCTAAATCAACTGGTGAGCCGAAGCTGCTCGCATCCGCCTCCAAAGCCATTAAGATAGAAATGGTTAGAGAGGCCGAGGCTAAGGAGGCAAGAGAAGAGGCTGCGAGGAGAGCCGCCGAGGTTGCTGAGGAGGAGGTAGCGAAACAGAAGCCTCTTCGAGAGAAGGGCAAGTCTCCAATGTTCCTAGTTGGTAGGGAGGAGAACTTGGCCCCAGCCTTGGCGGAGGCTCTACTCCAGGAGATCCGGAGCGCTACTGAGAGCTTCTACCGGTTCTGGACTGA